ATGCTTGCAGGAGCACGTATTCCTTCTCAGGTTGCAGGGAGCTGGTCCCTTGTGCTCCGCCTCGTGTTGGGCGAGGCCGTGGAGCTCGGTCGGAATCCTCTGATGCCCAGCAGATGCTTTGTCAGTACGATTTCTCGGACTGCCAGTCGGTTCTTCCCGGGCACAACTGCACTATCCGCTGTGGCACGGATTATTCCGGCACCTCGACCATAGCGTATTGTCCATCTGACAATACAGACCCAAATGCAGAGCTGTTGTATGTGGAGCCGCTCTGCCGCCTCAACCCCTGTGAGATGAATGTACCTCCAGGCTATGTCGAGACGCCATGTGGGTGGGTCTGTGACGACGGGTACATTGGGAGCGTGCAGGCGAGTTGTGAACCGGTCGGGAATGAGCCAGGAAGATGTAGATCTGTGTTGCAGATCAGTGGCTGTACGCAAACTGTACAGTGTGCTCCCTTACTCGTGAACGACACCTGCAGAACAAATGCTTCGGAGTGCACCTCCTTGCAGCCTGGCCAAGGATGCAATGTGACCTGTTCCGAGCCCTACACAGGTGGTCAGGGAGAAAATGCTACTTGGGCCTACTGTCCACTGGGTACCACGACCCCCAACCAGCAGCCTGTGTGGGGCACAGACATGGAAGAATGGGCGCTGGACTGTGAGATTGAGTGCGAGCTTCCTCGTCCCATTCCTGCAGGATATTTGTTGAGCACTGACGGGGAGTGGTCCTGCGACCGTGCCAACCAATACAGTGGAGTGGCATCAGCGGAGTGCACCGTCAATGTGTCAACCTGTTTGCCCATTCTTGTCTTGTCCGGCTGCTTTCCCACAACGCCCTGCGATATGCCAGCTTATGACCGCTGTCAGCACGATGTTTCCGGGTGCCCTGTGGACGGCAAGTTGATTTCTGGAACATCTTGTTCTGTGAGTTGCATGTCTCCTTACAGCACTCCCTTGGGAGAGGCTGGCGGCCTCATCGAGTGTCGTGATCCGAACATTGATGCTTTAGGTGCGATTTGGACGCCGCCTCGATGTATCCTGGGCTGTGCTCAGCCTTCGTCACAGGCAGGCTACCGCCAAGTGCTCGGTGAATGGGCGTGTGCTGATGGATATGATGGTCCAGGGGCTATCTGGTTCGAATGCGTTGTTGAGCCTGACTCCTGTGTCGCATTTCCGCGCCTCTTTGGCTGCATGCCCTTCGTTGCATGCACGACTCCAGCCTTGACTCCAGTTCAGCAATGCGTCCTGGATCTGGTGAATGGCAACTGCTTGTCGGTTCTTCCAGGCGAAACCTGCACCATCTATTGCAAGTTCCCCTACGTTGGCGACCGCATCTTCGCTGCCTGCCCGGCCACGAATATCGATGCGGCACGGGAGCCAAACTGGGCAGCTCCCATCTGCTACTGTCCCATCCCAGACCCAGTTCCCACAGGCTACGTGTATTTAGGACCCGACGAGTTCGGCTGTGCGGATGGATTCTTCGGAGCCGCAGTCTACAGATGCGATGTTGATACATCGACCTGCCAGCCGACAGTTGTACTGACGGGTTGTTATCCGCTGAGTTCTTGCTCGACACCGCAGGTGGATACCTACAATTTGTGCAAGGTGGACTTCAGCGAATGCAGCGGCCCGATTGCGCCCGGCGATTCATGCAATGTCAGTTGCAAGGCCGGATATGGTGAGAATATGAGTGTAGCCGAATGTCCTGGTGACAACACTGACCCAGACTACATGCCGGCCTTGTTGTTGGAGTGTGGGGAATACACATGTGCGACTCCTGAAGAATGGGCCATGGAAAATCCTTTACCGAAGGGGTACGACGTTGGTGTGTGGAGGTGCGCTCGTGGCTACCGCGGCGTCACATCTACCCAGTGCCTTCAGTCCGACGAGTGTGGAGGAACTTTGCAGTTATTCGGTTGCGTTCCCCTCGAGTCCTGCTCCTCGCCACGGCTCTCTGCAAGAGATGCCTGCCGCTTCAACTTCACGGATTGCGAGGACACGCCAGCCGGTGGCTTCTGCGAGATCCAGTGCGCTGAGCCGTTCTTTGGTCTTCCGGGCAAGGCCTTCTGCCGGCCGGACACCACCGACCCGAGCACAGAACTGACCTGGGCGGAGCCGCTGTGTCACCTCCGATGTCCCGATCCCGACCCCATTCCCGCTGGCTTCCAGCGGGTTGGAAGCTGCGGCTGGGAATGCGCCGAGGGCTACGAGGGGAAGCCGATCGCCGACTGTGACGTGGACGAATTCTGCCAACCAAGGCTCATCCTCAGCGGCTGCTTGCGCGAGGAGCCTTGCATGATTCCCCGAGAAGGTAGCTACGACCAGTGCAAGTTCAACTTCACGGACTGCATGGGGCAAATCCTTATGCCAGGTGCTTCCTGCCAAGTGAAGTGCAGACCCCCATACCTTGGTGCAGATTTCGTGGCGACTTGCCCGGAATTCAACACCGTGCCAGGCTTGACACTGGTGTTCTCCGAGTCCAGCTGCATGTTAAACTGCCCAGTGCCAGATCCTGTGCCCATGGGATACAGCGTCTCTCAAGGAAACGATTGGAGCTGTGATGAGGGCTTTTCCGGCACTCCACTGGCGAGCTGTGTGTTGAACGAGGAGTGCCAGGAGCCCCGGCTGCAGCTGACGGGATGTTACCAGAACACACCCTGCCGAGCTCCCCACCTGGAGGCCGTTTTTTGTCGGCTATTTGATTATAGCAGCTAGCATCTCTGGTTGCCTCTTTCTTGTCCCTGCAAGGTCTGTCGCTTCGAAACGGATTGCAGGGAGTCCGTGCAGCCCGGGGAGGAATGTGAGGTCCGCTGCCTGCCTCCCTTCAGCTTTAACAGCTCCCTGGCACGCTGCCCGGATCTGAACACGGAGGCCAACCGCACACCGGACTGGGAAGAGCCCGACTGTGAGCCGCTCTGTCCGCCCATGGATCCTCCCGCAAACTACACTCTCGAGCAGGGGGTCCTCATGTGTGTAGCAGATGCCGTTGGACAGCCCATGGCAGAATGCCGCATAAACCAAACAAACTGCCAAGCTTATTGGCACTATGCTGGCTGCCACCTTCTGACGCCTTGTGCGGTGCCAGCAATCGATGCTTGCCGTATGGACATTGGCAACTGCACAGACGTTCTTCCCGGTGAGTGGTGCGAGATGAGGTGCAGGGATGGCTTGGTTGGGGGCGAGTTTATGGGCAGCTGCCCGTCTGACAACGTCGATAGCACTACGCCACTGGCCTTCGACCGTCCTCCGAGCTGCCACTGCCCGGTGGCGGCACCGCAACTTGGCTACAGGCCCAACCATTCGCACGGCCATGGCCATTCGCATAGCAATGTCGACGGTGGCCGCTGGCAATGCGCCGAAGATTGGACAGGAACCGCCGAGGCTACTTGTGTTATTGATGACGGGTGCAACATTCAGGTCACACTCAGTGGTTGCGTGCCAATTCACAGCTGCGCGCCACCGCTGCCGATATACCTGAGCCATCCAGACGACTGCCGCCGTGTACCTGCAGGAAGCACGTGCGCAGCACGATGTGCTCCTTTTGCATGCGTCTCAGGCGGCCCAGTGACTTTTGAATGCCGGAGCCTCAGGGCCTCAGGTCATCTCTCATGTCTGTGAGTCTAGAGCCTTTTTGCTGCGCTTTTTGCTGCGCTTTTTGCGGCGCTTTGTTCCTGAGCAGGTCCAGCAGCAAACCGTGACCCCACACTTCCCGCTGAGCTCCTGGAAGGGTCGTGCAGCGTCCGATGTGAGATTTGCCGATCCACGCCTTTTCTCGACTCAGATCCTCGCCCCGGACACATCGCCGGCATGCTCCGCTTTGGGGAAGCGCATGCAAACGGGCAAATGCCAGTGGAGGGTGTCTTTGGATACAGGGTTTTCTTTGCAGATGGGTGCGGCATGCAAGTTGGACCTACCTTGGGCTACGTTCCACGAAGCGAGCGGCTCTATGCATGCTGTGCTGCAACAGCCTACTCGCTGGAAGTTTCTGATGCAGAGATTCCGCAAGGTGCAGCACAACTGCTCATCGCAATTAACACAAGTTTTGGTGAAATGCCCCACGGCACGTCGATAGAGTACAGCGACTTATCACAAACAGTTGTTGAGACGACGCCCCGGGTCATCACAGCCGATTCTCGTGCTTGTGACGCACATAGCACGGGTTGCGTTTTCGTTCATGAATTTCTTGTGGTCATAAGCCAAAAGCCAGGGTTGGCTTCAAAACGCTCATCCGACAGCTAGAGTATTCCGCGGTAGATTGCTGCGAAGAGTCTTGGTACCAGTATCAGTGCAACGACCTCATGGCATATCGCAGTAAAAGCCACAAGTGGTTCGTAGAACAAGGACATCACTTGACATGACTTGCTCACACCCGAGGCAGAGCCTTGTTGCACCCCGGTGGAATCTGGCTCATGCTGATCGCCAGCTTGCTGCACTTGAGTCTTTGACATCTGAGCGGGTGTCCGTTGTCGAACATACTGTGCAGACTCGAAGATTGGAAAATGCTTGTAGTAGTCATTAGCCTTGAATTCGATGTTAACGGCGCCTTGACCATTTTCGTGGTGTGCAGCCGGCAGGCGCTGGCTCTGCACACCTCAACGGTTCAGGAAGACCAGGGGCTCTCAAAGAGACCTCTCGGTACGAGCAATCGACCCGACATCTACAAAAGTCTCTGCGACGACTTGTGTTGGAGATAGTGCTCATACTTTATCTTTAAAAATGCTGTCCCTAATGACCCATTGCTCTGATTGGTTACCTACTTGCTGATGGCCACCCGGCAATTTCTTGTCAAGGGGTTGTTGCTTGGTCCCCATCACTACAACTGTAGCCGTGGAAGCTCCTGCCATGCCAGACCCACCGTGTGCTGCAGAGTTTCCAGCTCCAGAGAGCACAAGCGAACCGAGGTCCGGTTGAGAAATGTGACACACAGCAGGAAACATGGCAACAGACAAGGGACAAGTCCTTGGCATGCATTCGGGCATGCATTCGGAAGCACGCGACATGGCCGAGATCAGGTTGCAGGACGAGAGAATCGGCTCCTCCCCACACAGAAAATACACCTTGCTCTTTCCGGAGGATGGCGGCGGGCCGCATGCATCCAGGTCCTCCAGAGCAGAACTGGGCGAGGCCAGGGACTCGTTCTGTACTGACAGCAGTGTCCTTAAACTGGTTTCTCATCGGACATCGGACCACCCTGCGACGGCTGCAAGGAGCTCCAGCAAGGCTGCAGAAGTCCATTTGCGTCCGGTTTCACGTGTAGGTGCCCTGCCTGACAGCCGGACTTCCAACGCCCGACTCCGTGCAGTCGCAGAAGGCGATTTCGAAATCACTCTTACAACGAAGATTTCAGACTCGGAGGCTTTGTGACCTTGGGGGTGTCAGGAGGCTCACATCGCTAGCCTCGAGCGCGAACTTCGCGAGGGAGTAGCTCAGCTGGCAGAGCAGCATCGGCGGAAGACGGCCCCTGGCTCGGAGTGTCGGGATCTTTGGGGCGCAAGGCAAAGGCCTGGGCTTGTCGGCTTCCGCAGTGTCTTCTGGAATATCCTGCCCAGGATGAGCTCCATGCCAAGGCAAACCAGCAAAGGAGTCAGTGGGGGCCCTGAGTCCCTGAGTCTTGTTTGCCCCCTCGCCTGTGGATCGCAAAGCGCGAGGCTCAGTCTGGCACTGGAGAAGATGGCACCCCGGCTGAAGCTGTGTGGCTTCCCTCCAAAATGGAGCCAACTTGAGGTCAAGGAGCAAGAGGCCCTGCTGGACAGACAGCCGGACTCCCGGACTCTCAGATGCAAAGCACAGTACGGTGAAGGCCCTGCGCGCCTGCGCGCACGTCTGTGCAGGCACCAGGCCCAGAGCCAACAGCTCCAGGAAGCCGCCCAACGCCAGCTCACGGAGCTGAAGCAACAGGCAAAGTGCAAAGAGCCGCGCTTTTGAGTTGTGCCCAAAGCGGCTTTTTTTCTGCTGCCTTTTGCAAGCGGGCTCCTTCTGACAAGGCAGAGCTTCTGGTGCAGGCCTGGAGAGCCCAGGCCGGAGCCTTTGCCTTCCTTTTGAGGCCGTAAGTTACTGCAACTCTTCTGTAGGAGGGGCAGATCCCGCCGGCCCACATCCGTGGCTTGCCACGAGAGCCGGCACCTCGGTTTCTGAGGGCCACGATCTTGCAGGGTGTTAGCTCGCAGTCGTGAAAGAACCAGTCTGTCGTCTCTACACCTCTCCCATGTTTGACTTGACCTGCCATTTCCAGTGATCAAGCACTTCCTCAGGTCTTTGAAGGCACACCGGCAATGCATTGGTCAGGGCTGTGGGGTTTGCAGAGTTCTTGCGGTTGCAGCCTGTGCTGATGCTCCTGGGAGATCTTTAACAGCTAGACGGCAACTTCACTGTCACAGACAGCGGCACCCGCACGTGTCGTAGATCTTCAACTGTCGGAATGCTGCGGCCGCCTGCTTGCCGTGCCAAACCCTGGAATGTGCCAGGTTTAGTGTCGAAGCATCTTTACAAAGCTCTTTCGGAGTCCCTCCGACTCCGCGCGCTCGGGATGATCTGTGACATATCCCGCATAGAGGTGCCCAGTGGCGGAAGCATGCGGGTGGCCTGGCCAGCCTATGTGGCACCCCTGGATGCTATACGTTACTGTTGGCATGTGAGAATATTATTGATCATGTTTGTGACCTGGAGTCAAATTTGAGACTTCACAGCGAAGTGTGTCTCTGTCATCGAGTGCCTCGAGCTGGTGAATTTGCCTCTGAAGGGATTGCGAGTGCCAGAGATTCTGTGGAGAATTACGTTATATAAACACGAGTATCAACATGCCCTGAGACTCTGAGACTTGACTTTATTTCCGAGGCTGCAGGCCAGGGCGGCAGCATGGCAGTCCTGGTGGCTTCTTGGATCTGAGCAGACGCGACCCATGGCCTGGTGTCTGCGACATGACATACTCATAGGACTTCGGAATACATCACCGTTATGACATCGATGTCAGAAGTCGCCTTGCCAACACACAAGTCAACAGCAAGGGAAGACAGCTGCAGCTTCAAGGTCGCAAAGTTCGGAACTCTAAGAAGCGAATTCCGGCCTTAGAAGCCCATCCAACCTTGCTCTGAGGCCCCACCAAGAGTCCAGTCGAGCCTGGGAGGCCGGTGGAAGCAACCAGAGTTTGTGTGATCAGAGAATAAGAGAACATGCTCTCCACAGCCACGGCAATTTTCATTGCGTGCATCATCACTTCCCCAAAGCCAGCGCTGGTCGCATCACTCCCCTGCCCTCCCTCCCTCCCCTCCCTCCCT